GGCCCACTGGGGGGCGTGCAGGAGGCAGCTGATCGATCTCTCTCATCGATGTTTCTAACTCTCTATCCCTCTCCCTTCTTCTCTGTAAAAAATCAATAAAATATATTTTTAAAAAAACCCTTGCATAGTCTCCTTAAGTCATCTTGTAATGCTCTTTGTAGGCCAGTTACAGGGAGAGGGTTCATTAAGCCCCAATGAAACTTTTAGGAAGATGTCCTGTGTTTATTCCATGCATAAAACTCATCCACTGTGATGTAAAAAGAGCTGCTCCCTGTTTGCCTATACATGAGGTGTGTGAATTTTCAGACCATTGAAAAAAGAAGTTTCTTACTTCATTTTGTCTCCCACTTTATTCTAGAGAAGAAAGTTCTTGCATAAGCTCTTCCTTTTCTTGTTCCAACTCCTGTAAATGATGTTGGTTTTGCTCCAGTCTGTCCTCCAACCACTGTAGGAGAGGTCCGCTGACTGCTGACATCTGACTGCACAGGTTCTTGGTAAACACTTCAATAGGAAAAACACAGATGAGTAACATGCCACCCCCAGCAGCCCACCCCCCAACTGTGAACACAGAAAGAAGGGGTTGGAGGAGGAAGTAGAAAAAGCACAATAAGTAGGACTGGCAGACAATTTTGTACGGCCATCCAGAGGAAAGGCAGAACAGCTGAGCCAAGGTTACCTATTCTGAGGCATTCCTGAACATCCCTGGCTGCATGGGCCAGAGGGAAGCCTAGCTAAGCAGAGAGCGGAAAATGACCAGCTCTTAATTCCCTTAGATAGAAATGATGGGACCAATACACTAAGCCAGTGGTCGGCAAACTGCGGCTCGTGAGCCACATGTGGCTCTTTGGCCCCTTGAGTGTGGCTCTTCCACAAAATACCCACTTCTGCACATGGGCCACCAAGTTTCAATCGCACTGTTCGTGCGCGCCCGCATGTGGATTTTGTGGAAGAGCCACACTCAAGGGGCCAAAGAGCCGCATGTGGCTCGCGAGCCGCAGTTTGCCGACCACTACACTAAGCCATCTCTCTCTTTTCCTCTCAAAGTAATTACCTGTAACACTTAAAAGCCTCCCCTTCTTCCTCACTGGTGACTTTGTCAGCCACTGGGGAAGACTGCACAGAATGGCCTGCGACTCAGGACTAGAGAGGAAATGTGGGTGGGTAGCTGTGTATGTTGGGGAAAGGTAATTTTGTACATTGTATTGAGTTTGCTGTTTCTTGGCCTTGTATAGGGATTCCTTCTATATTTATTGGCATGAAACAATTTCCTTCCTCGTGCCCTCCCTTTGGTCTGTCTTTCTGTCTGTGTTTCTATCCAACTCTTTTGATTCCCACCCACCATCATAGGCTGTTAGTGGTATGCTAGAACCAACTTAGACCAGCTCATGAGAGCCAACTGTTGACATTTCAAAAAGTTTGTTACCTGATTGAAGCCATATTAGTTATTTGAAATCAGCCATGAAGAGCTATTATACCATGGAAACTGGCAAACACACCAAATCAGGGACCTCCGTCTTCCTGAGAATTGGTTATTAAACATGTACCAGCACACCACTGAGGGGGGTCTCTCATAAAACTTGTCCCTGTCTTTCCTCCAGTCTTACTTTAGGTAGCACTTCTATTATCTGAGGGTCTAAGGCAGCGGTTCTCAACCTATGGGTTGCCAACTTCTGGGTCGCAACCCCTTTGGGGGTCGAACGACCCTTTCACAGGGGTCGCCTAAGACCATCGGAAAACACATATATAATTACATATTGTTTTTGTGATTAATCACTATGCCTTAATTATGTTCAATGTGTAACAATGAAAATACATCCTGCATATCAGATATTTACATGACTATTCATAACAGTAGCAAAATTACAGTGATGAAGTAGCCACGAAAATAATTTTATGGTTGGGGGTCACCACAACATGAGGGACTGTATTAAAGGGTCGCGGCATTAGGAAGGTTGAGAACCACTGGTCTAAGGCATTTGATAGAAAAGGTGAGAGCAGGATTAATGATTGACAAAGCTTTTGGGAAAGGAAACGTGAGGATTACTTGTACCAATCACTTCAGTCACTTCAACTAAATTTGCTTCTGTCAGCTGAGTATTCCAGAGATGGATCACTGCCTATAAACAAAAAAAAATCTTACCTGAGCCATTATGGATCTTGGTTACTGAGTCCAGATGTGTAAGACTAAAGGGATAAAATAGTTTAGGTTAGTGACAAAGCAGCAGAGGGAAAACAAAATGGTCATGGACTCTATAACAAAATGATACATTGTGCCAGATCTCTGCAATCTGGACTAGATGAATATGTATAATTTAAATTCACATTATGGTTAAATTGTGCATGACTTTTGAGACATGACTTTATTCAGAACTTTAATATAATTCAAAGAGATATTTTTTGAAATCCTCACCAGATGATATTTTTCATTGATTTTTAGACAGAGTGGAAGGGTGGGAGAATGGAGAGAGAGAGAGAGAGAGCACGCAAGAGAGAAAGAGAGACAGAGACAGAGAGAAACATCGATGTGAGAGAGACACATCAATTTATTGCCTTCCGCTCAAGCCCCAACTGGGGTCAGGGGTTGATCCTGCAACCAAGGCATGTGCCCTTGACTGGGAATAAAACCTGTGACCCTTTGGTCCACAGGCTGATATTCTAACCACTGAGCAACTGGCCAGGGCTCAAAGAGATAATTTTGAAATTACTGTCTCTCATTGAAGCCTTCACATAGTATACATTTATTGGGCAAGACCCAGTGCTTGGCATCAGGGCTAAGATATTGCAGTTTATTATTTTTTTACAACCCAAAAAGTGTCTTTGCGCTTGGAAGATCCAAAGTGCTGCAAGAGATAAACAAATGTTAATGAGATTGTTATCAGACAGTGTGAGAAACTTTATGATTGGAGACTGCTATGAAGCATGCTCCACAGAGAGGTAAAAGGAAAGAGTTGAGCTGCTAAGATGAAAGGAGAGAAGAGGACAATAGGGACTGGCCCCTAGAAGTGGAGAAGAGAAGTGAGGAAGCTTAATACCTGTGGATCCTCCTATATGCATCCTGCTCCTCTTGGCACAGGATCTTGGGCAGCTCAACTGCTGATTCAAGGCACACTTTTCCAATACTCACATGAGGTACAATATGGATTGGGATTTCAATTCTCTCATACCTGCAAGACAATCAATTCAAGTCAGTTTTTGTTTGTCTGTCTCAAGCTTTTTGAGGTATAATTGACAAATAGGAATCTCATATAATAAAAGGTAATATGCAAATCAACTTAACAGCAGAACGATGGGTCGCTATGACGCGCACTGACCACCAGGGGGCAGATGCTCGATGCAGGAGCTGCCCCCTGGTGGTCAGTGCACTCCCACAGGGGAACCACCACTCAGCCAGAAGCCCGGAAGCCAGGCTCAGGGCTGGTGAGTGCCTCCACGGCAGTCGGACATCCCAAGGGCTCCCGGACTGAAACAGGGCGCAGCCTGGTTGAGGGACACCCCCCCAGTGCACGAATCTCGGGCACTGGGCCTCTAGTTATATATATTTAAGGTTTACAAATTGATATTTTGATATATATACA